TTTCTCTTCGATGTACTGAGCCTTCCTGACAGTGGTAAGGTCCAAGCGGCTAAAGATATGGGGCGTGGAATAGACGATGTATCGGAAGGTACGCGAGGTAGCAGCTAGATTCAAGACATCGTAGGAAGACAAGTAGGGAGTCGTATGGTTCAGGACCAACGAGTTGGCAAGAAGTTGAAGGAGGGCGTTGTGGCGAATCTCGGTAGATAGACTGGCGCTATGTGTCATTGTTCACGTATAGGGTCGTATATGTAGAGGCAAATGGAGACGATATCTGCGCGGTAAAACGAAGGGTCGATAATAACGATGAGTAGAGATAGAGCTCTGGTAGAGGAGAGGGAAAAAAAGAAAAAGTTTTAAACACCTCCTCGGGGCAGGGGCAGCAATGTTAAGGGTCTTGGTCACGAGTAGGGATGATGCATGTAGATATAGGTTCAAGGGTCAAGGGGGAAGGGGGAAGGTCTCGATCGGCGGCAGATAGTGTGGATTCTGAGAGGTACTTGAAAGCCGCAACGTTGACACGCTGTGAAACTCGGTTCGACCGTCATGGAGGTCACAGCTGTAATGATACCCTGGATGATGGTGGTGGTGAACCTGTCATCTGGATTGCATACAGTCCAGAAAGTGTGGGGTTGAGGAACCGTAAACAAAGACGGGGGGATGTTGGAGGCGTAACTTGTCTCAAAGCTCGACGCCCTGTTTGACTTTGGGTTCCATTCAGTACCGCTGATCTGTCTTGTCTGTGCGTCAACCATCCGAGCCGCGGGGATCGACATGATTACCTTTGATAGCAGTGCGATACAGTTCCATTGGGTTGACCATTGGGATCAGATAAGATGTTTGGTCAAGGAGTGATGCAGCCATATTGGGGTAGAACAACCCCCGACAAGCCAAGGGTTTATCATACATACCTACAGAATACATACTCCATATTAACCGGCTTTAGCGCTACGTCTAAGCACCTTGTGTGAACCGTGGTTCATCAATGGATGTCCCTCCTGGGCATCTTCTCCTCCACCCCCCGCGGAGGTTATGCCAAAGGGCTTTGTGCTCCATGACAGGTAGTTTTGTGATGATGGGCTGCTGCGACTCTGCGGCAGGATGGCCAGACGAGAGGTCATCAAGGGGACTCGGAGTGCCACCAGTAAAGTGGTCCTGCGTTGCAACGTGGGGTGTCCTTTGAGTTCCAGTGGAAAGCTCGAGTTGAAGTCGGCGACATGCAGATGCGTGCGTACCGTCAACCTGGAGTCCTGGACACGTGGACACCATTTCCTCCTAACAAGATGGGGATATCTGTGTGCTGGGATGTCGAGCGGAAAGAGTAAATTTGAGCCGGAGGTAACGGGAAGAAATTGGCAACCTTGTCATTCTGGCGTGTGCACTTCGCTTCCGACGGTCGGTGGTTTGAGGTGACATGGTCGAGCAAAGCATTGACCCCACCTTGCCTACCCGACCTCCACTCTGCCCGCCAACCCTAAGAGGTGGGGTACTTAAGGTAGGGTAGAGGTAGCGTCGGAGATCATGCCGTCAGCCTCGCTTTCCCCTTGCCTGCCAAAATGCTCCCTGGAATGACGTTCTCTCTCTTGATCTTTCCTAATTTTCCTTGATCTGGGCCACCACTTCATCCTGATAAGTTGTCTTGGTTGTACACTAGAACCAGCAAACAGTCACTCTGATGAGTGAGACTTCAGAGTCCGTCTGAGGCTATCATATCTCAGCATACTTACTGAACCCATTACGTAGTGTAGATGTGAATGTACATTCTCAAGTACCTTAGGTTATGGAGACCACTGCAGCGTCCGTTGGAGATGATCACTAACAGCAAGCTGGTCTTGTGATTGGTCGAAGCTGTGGTTAATGTGGATGGAACCTCCAAGAAGCTTTCAGGCTTCTTCCGAATTGCGCAGCCCACCAAGCTTCTGCTGACTGAGCAAAGTGAACCGAGCAAATCCGCCACGACTCTTCCATCATCATCATCATTGTCATTATCAACAGTCGCATCTGTCGAAGGATCTGAAAACACCGTCGGCCACGAGCCCTTTACTGTCACCTCTATCAATCACATAATACTTAATACCGCTATAATAGGCATCAATCGTCTTCTACACCGAAGCCACCGCGAAATTGCACCACGATTCTCGCTTACCGTCACAAAATCGAAACCATACGCTGCTGTTGGAAAGTGCGACAGCCGCACGCGACAATATGGCTGAACAATCGGTGCACTTGAACTGGTCGGCGCCGTTCAATGTTACGCACCCCTCGCGGATCGCAAGCAAGGACTTGCAGGGCGACAAGATCCTTCTTCCGCAGTCCGCCCTGGAGCAGCTCCTTTCCGCCTCGACGACCATCTCGACAACCCCTTCGAACTCCCATACTTTTACCGCCTTCGACCCTTACAATCCCTACTCTGTCGCTGCCGCACGTCGAGAACGCTCAAATTTCCGTGAAACTACGCAACAGTTACCGCATCCCTTGATGTTCCAACTCATCAACCAGAGAAATGGGAATTCTGTCTTTGCCGGTATTCGGGAGTTCTCGGCAAATGAGGGGGAGGTTGCCTTGAGCCCTTACCTTCTCGAAGCCTTGGGTATCCATGAGGACGACATCAAGGATACCTCGCCGCCAGCAGATACACAAACGGATGGGCCAGAGGTTATCGACCTGACGGAGGACGACGCCATCAACCAGACGACTCAAGGTTACCAAATCACAGTCAAGGCTCGGCAACTACCAAAGGGCACTTACTTACGCCTACGTCCCCTCCAGGCTGGCTACAACCCAGATGATTGGAAATCTTTACTCGAAAGACAGCTTCGCGCCAGCTACACTACCCTCACAAAAGACTCCATTCTCTCCGTTACGGGTGTCAAAGGCGAAGAGTTCCGTTTTCTTGTTGACAAGTTCCAACCTGAGGGTAACGGCATATGTGTGGTAGACACCGATCTCGAGGTCGACATCGAACCGCTTAACGAAGAGCAAGCTCGCGAAACACTACGACAAATAGCCGAAAAGGCGCAAAAAGCGCCTGGGGCGGAGGCTGGCAGTTCAATTGGCCATGAAATAGACATCTGGAAGGATGTCCATGGTCAAGTTTTAGCAGGGGACTATGTTGACTATACTCTACCATCCTGGGACAGGTCACGCCCCCTTGCCATCGAGCTGTCGATTGAAGACGATCAAGAGGTTGATCTCCTCATCAGCCCCAAGTCCAACCGACAACGAGCGCTGCCCCGGGATTCCGAGCATGTCTTTGCCGATTTCTCATCGCCAAAAGATGGTGTAAAGCGCGTCATCATTCAGCCTACAAATATTGAACTCGAGGGTGCGGAAAGCCTCCTGATAGCCGTTTATGGCTCCTCGATACCAGACCAGCCTACTTCCACGGCCGCACCTCGACGATATACTCTCCGAGCCAAGGCTGAAGAGGTGCAAGGTTCCGCAACAGCACCGGTTGTTCTCGCGAGTTCACCCGCAAAGAATGCCGACGAGGAGCAGTGCAAGAACTGCTTGCAGTTCGTGCCAAAGCGGACGATCGTTTTACACGAGAACTTCTGCATCCGAAATAACGTTGTTTGCCCTCATTGCAAAAATGTCTTTAAAAAATCATCCGAGGAGTGGGCTGCCCACTGGCACTGTCCAACTCACCCCGAGGCGTATGGCTCAACACCATTTAGCAAAAGCAAGCACGATTACATCCAGCACACAACTCACGTTTGCCAGTCTTGTGGACCATCTAGCCCGTTCTCTTTCCCATCTATGACCGAGCTGGCGCGCCACCGCACGACCGTGTGCCCTGGCAAAATTATCCTGTGTCAGTTCTGCCACCTTGAGGTTCCTCAGGAAGGTGATCCGCTTGATCCAGCTTCGGAGGCCGAGACTGTCATATCAGGTCTGACCGCCCATGAGCGAGCCGACGGTGCTCGCACGACCGATTGTCATCTATGCGGAGCCATTGTCCGTCTGAGGGACATGGCTGCCCACAGCACAAATCATGAGCTGGACAAGGTGTCCCGCCCGAAACCGGAAGTATGCAGAGACGAGCTCTGTGGGCGGACTCTACATGGTGTTGGTCCTCGTGGGCAAATCAATGGCGGAACCCGAATGGGCCAAGGCCCAGGTAACGACCTGGGTCTTTGTAGCCTATGTTTCTCTCCGCTCTACGTTAGCATGTATGACCCTGAAGGTAAAGCATTGCGGAGAAGGATCGAAAGGCGCTACCTTGCTCAGCTGATGACCGGCTGTGGTAAGAAATGGTGCCAAAACGAATGGTGCAAGACAGGCCGCGCCAACCAGGGGCTAGAACCCCTAGGCTCTAGTGCTGCGGCTGCTCTGCCCTTGGTGAAGCCACTTCTGGAAGACATCAGAGACTGCTCAAAGCCTATGCACTTTTGCGTCGATGAGGCATCTCAGCGCCGTAAGAAGACCGCCGAGATGCTGGCTGCAGAAGGTGCCTGGGAGCGAGAATGGTGCATCGCTGCACTTGAAGCCGAGGGTGGTGATCTTACAAAGGCCAGAAACTGGTTGGCTGACTGGGCGCCGACAAAATTCGGCAAATAATACGGTACACGCAATCTCTGAAGATAAACGGCTGGTTGGCCCGAAGCGGCAATCCGGGTATGGCATTATAGACGATTTGAATGATAGATACCCAATGATAAGAGTTAGACAGCATCCAGGATTTATAGAGTAACAAGCATCGGTTTCTATTCATATTATCGAACATACAATCTTTCTTTTCGCTGTATTTCCTTTCCTATCAACGCTATCAGTACATGGTGATGAGGGAGTTGGTCTTCAGTGTGTCGTGCTGGGATGTGGGAGTCTTGTTAGGACTTGTTTGAGTTTCGATCATTGAGTTAGAGTTCGGAGAGCGGACGGACGATGCAACATAAGATATCGGGAAAGCTCCTGGTTGATGCAACTCTACGCTCAGGGACTCGCAACGAAACCGCTGTGAAACAACATCTTCTTGGCGCCCTCAGCATATCGACATCAAAATGGTCTGTATTCACCTGAACGAGATCTTCATCTAGAGTCGACTTCCTGAACGTCCAATATCGACACCGAAAACTCTCACTCGACCAAGACCTAGCAAGAACCGCGTGCGCGCGACACGCATTAACATGCTTCAAATACGATCTCTCACCCTCCTCCTATTCACCCTTCTTTCCTCGTCTTCCATACCAACAGCCACCGCGATCCCCCAACTCCCTGCCGGTGTCAACCTCAAAGAAGACAATGGCCAAGTAACCATCAACCGCGATCCAACCGACAACCAAACCGACAACCACCTCCCTATCCGCGCTACTATATTCTCCGGTGTACCCGGCCCCACCCACTGCCGCGGGCACGTTGTCCTCCTTCTAGACCTACCACCCCCCTCGCCTTCGCCAGATGGCAACAGCCTCCTCACCACAACACCACAATGTTACAACATTCCCAGCGCCGGTAACCCTTCTTCTTCTTCTACAGCCGGCTGCGGCAACTTTCTAGCCAACAAGTCAGACGGCTGCGAAGCGCGTATGTTCGCCGAGCCGAATTGCGCGGGGTACCTGAACACGGTGGTCTTCACCCAGGAGGACCGGGCGGTCGGGGGGCAGTGGCGAAGCCTTGAGGTGAGGTGTGGAGTGCCGGCTCCAGATCCGGAAAGTTTGGGGAAGCCGCCGTTGGCAGGATTTATGGGGCAGGCGAGAATCAAGGAGAATAAGCCGGGACGGCGGTGGGTAGGGTAATTGACTACTTGATGGAATTTCTTTCTGTCAGATCGACACAGACTTGCCGTCTGGTTTGGACACTCGCCCGCTGTGAGCGGAAGATTGAAGTTTGAGATACGATGTCAATTACATATCTTCATTAATCGTTAAAGAAACCTCTCTGCTGGTGGGAAGAAACTGCGTGCGTCGTTTGTTAGCTAGTCTTCTGGGCATTGTGCGTTTTCGATGCGGAAAAAGGCCAGCGGCAGCCTCCAGGGTTGCTAGCAAAATAGTAGCTTATAGTGCCCAATTGCGGATCCAATATCAATAACATCACAGCCCGATTAGCTCAGCTGGTTAGAGCGTCGTACTAATATCTTCTTCGAGATATCAAGTCAATGCGAAGGTCAACAGTTCAATCCTGTTATTGGGCATTCTTTTTGCGCTTTTTGCAGCTGTGTATCACTTCCTCTGTCTCTTTTATAACATTGTCATTTGTCTACACCTTATTATGCCTCTCCATTTCTTTTTTGCGAAAGTTGCGGTGTCGATAACTCAAGCATGTCGCTCGCAATTGGGGAGTGTCTGTAGGGAATGTACGGACTCGAAAGCGGAGTCGGATGCAGCAGATCTCCACGCCACTTAATGAAGAAAGAAGGACGAAAGCTGAGAGAAATCGAATAAATCGAGCGCAAATCGCCTGCTGAGATAAGTATGGATCCTGAAACCAAGTCAAATATACTAGTAACGTCAAAAGATCCGCGCATCGGCTAAAGAGCAACAAAATCCCATCCAGTACCAGTCCCCATCCTGAACCATCCGCGCCAAAAAGTCAAGCTACCTCCCAAAAAGATATCACCTTGAAACTATAACCGAGACCCCAGCCCAGGAAGCCAAAGTTTTTCCAAGCAAACAATCAAACACTATTTATCCTTCCTCCTCCCCATCCTCCATCTCACCCTCTACCCCTTCCTAGGACGCAACAGCAGCGTACAGCTTTGAATTATCATACTCTGCGCTCGCACACCCCCCCGGAATCTGGTACTGCTTCGCGCCCGTAATGCCCAAACTGCTAGTCCCACTCGTGAGCGTTGCATACGCATTTTGAAACCAAACCTGGGTGAATTGCGCAAAGCCCGCTAGGGTGTTCCCGTAGTAAGGCCGCTCGACGACCCAGTCGGCGTCTACGCGCGCCAAGGCGGCCCCTTGCCAGGCATTGACGGTGTAAGTGTAGCCGCGGCTGGACATGATTTTGCTAAGAAGGGAGCAAGGGAAGGAGGTTAGTTGGTGAGTTGATTGGGTTGGAAAGTATCCGTCAAGGGGGAAAGAAATGAAGATGGGTGATAAGTGGAAGAGAGGCTGCAGTGGGTTGAGCCAAACGCGGGCTCAGAGCTCGAAGTTCTGCGACGGTGAGGCTGATGGCGAGGAATGTTTGGTAGGGTAATGTTGATGATCATTGCAGTCGTCGGTATGAGGGGACGTTGACGATTGGAAGGAGATGAAATGTTTTACACTTACATGGTCGCTGCTGTGGAGGAGGTCGTATTGATGGTAATATCAAACCAATCACCAGCAAAGACCGGAATGTTGGTAATCGTGTAAGCGCCATTGGGGACCCATTGCCACCAGACTTCGTTTCTGTTGGCATAGATATGTCAGTTCTGGCCGGGCTGTTGCAAGGTGATGAATGAGGATGAGAATAACCTACTCAACTATTCCCGTAGAGTTGTTGATCTACTCGCAACCATCGTTAGTTTTTAGTTCTTTCACTTTTTGTTGTTCGAACACGGGAAATAAGAGCCGAGCTAAACATAACAGCAACCAACCTTGCAAACCGTCCCAGCCTGCAGCAAGGCCGAAGTCCACGAATCACCATCAATGCCAATCCAAGCGGCTGCCGCCTGGGGATACTGAGTGACACCGGGCCGCTGAGTGCACGTGGGATGTTGAAAGGTACCGTGGATGAGCTTGATTTGATTGCTTGACGTTGTACTTTGCACAGAACCACACCAATTGTTACTATTTGCAGTCGGATTGGTTCTCTTAACCCGTCTCAGGGTCGTCGTTTCTATCTTGGGGCCCGAATCATCGTATGTGCGGCTCCTGACGCGGCCAAGGGTACCTGGCTCGAACGGCTTGAGATCAGTTTCGGACTGCGGCACTGGAACACCATTGTGTTCGACTGTAGACGTGAAAGTAAACTGGGCTAGAATAGGTTGGGATAATACACCCAGAAGGGAAATAGCCGTGGGGAGGAGCTTCATGATAAGAATATATGCAGGGGCTTGTGGTTTAAAAAAGAAGTGTTATATAGGCAATTGCAAAGCTGTAGCAAGAAGATATCTACAAGACAATCAGGTAGATAGAGAGGCCCCTTCGCCCAGGATTGCTGAGTGAATTACCGAAGATAACAAAATCACTGCAGGAACTCCCCCCGCTTTATCCTTTTCCAAGATGGCCAGAACACGAGAAAGTTGCTACTCTATCCATGCATCCGTCACAGTTATTTCCCTTCCAGGTAGGGAAGCTGAAGCGATACCCATTCATACAAGAGCCTGCTCGTGTTCTACAACGGGCTGAGACCGAGCTCCATCACAGCACGAGAAAGTGGCAAGGCGACCATTCCTCTTTCAACTCCATGTTCTCGAGCGCTCCTCATTGCGCCATGCTCCTACGTGCAATGATTGTGAAGAAACTGTAGGTTTGAGGACATATACAAGAAGGGATGGTGGTGTCCATACCTACGTTGATCACATCCTCCTTCTACTTCAGGCGTTGTATTCGCCAATGTGTCCTCGGGAAAATGGTCATGCGAAGGAGAAGATTGTGGTGGTTGTGGGGCACATATGCCACGAGTTGAGTAGTATCTGACGGACCCGAGTGTGTAGTCCTGTGTCGGATGGAATGTGTACCTGTAACCGGTTGAAGGTTGAGGTGATGGGCAAAGTGAAGCACGGGGATATCCGCCGTATGTCACAGCAAAATCAATCCCACAACGTTGATGCTTTGGAGGATCCAGCCAATGAAGCAGGTCCAGGCAGTGTGAGTGCCAGGAAGCTACACACCCACCCCTAGATGCTGGTTGTAAAGGGGATGATACTTCGCCGTGCTCGCCGTTGCAACGGTGGTCCACACAGCTTCCCGTTACGGAGTTCGTTCACAACAGTCTGAATCTGCGGAGGAGATTGTCCGAGTGGATACTAGTAGCCCTCAGTTCACGTTCAAGACTCAAGATAGCAGGATTAATGCCAGATATCTCGATGTCTTTCGTCGCCATGTGTTTGGACACTTGAAAGATGTTGTTTTCAGTGCGTCAAAGGCGCTAAGAGGAAATGTCGGCTATGCGCTTTCGTCAATGCTCGGCAAAACGTCTGATGATAAAGAGGAAATTACTGACCGAACAAAAAACCACCAACCCTGATTTTCTGCATGTGCTCGGGTGATTTCTTCCATGTCCCCCACCTCCATCACAATGCCAGGTAGTTGTGAAGTTGAACACGAAAGTGGCCTTTGGCCTGCGCCACTGTATTACTGATTTCGGTGCCTGACTGCCTGTCTGTGCCATTACCTGTGAGATCGTGGCTGAAACCAATGAGGAAGAATTGACATTCTAATTCGTATGGTCGTATGGTGGAAGAAGAAGTCCAAAAGAAAGGCGCTGCCAATCCTCCGCTAAATACCATCACGAAAAAAGTGGTGGGGGACGATTGGAGTGGATACAATTGCCAGGCGTCGGTGAGGCAAGATGTCAGGCGGTGCCCACAGGACTCTGTGGCTGCTTCGAACAAAACATGGCGTTTATCGGATGACTTGCCCCAAAGGATGGAGCGTGGCTATCCCGTTGTCTTATGTGATGTTCCGAATGGGAATGTGATAGCACTTGCTCAATGATATGTGCCTATTCCTGAATGATCTTCTTAGGCTTTTATGCCGTAGCTCTGATTCGTGGATCGTCATACATCTTACTTTGTGCCGGCTGTGAAAGAGTCATGATACTCGCAAATGCATCATGGCAAGGTGTGTAGACTCGTTCAAAAACGGCTGCAAATGCCTTTCAACGGCACCAACAGAAACATTGATATTGAGACGTTGAGGAAGGTTTGAGGAATTTTCGAATGTACGAGGTAACAACAGCCCCCACATACCTATATCATCCGGAGGACTATTGATGAGCTGCATCGCAGGCCAGGCCGCCCGTTGCAACGGTGCCACTGGCTTACACGGGTATGATTCGGATGTGGGATTGGCTTTCGCACTTCAACAACACCGCCCAGCAAATCAGGGTCGTCGATTGCCACCTCAGCCTCTACGCCGCGACAGCCCAGATAGTGACCGAGGAGGTACTCCTTCGTATTTCACTTTATATCATGGCAAAGAGTTGGGAATTTTTATCTTTTGCTGTCTGCCTTGAGGAACATAGGTTGTTAGTTGTCTACTCGCGGCGTCCAATGACCTTCCTCTTGTTGTGACGGCATGTCAGCTCGTCACCGATGGACTCGAAGATGCTCCAAGATGGTGGTGATAGTAAGACTGGTGTTGGCGCGGAAGAAGGCAACACCATCCATGTCATGAGACACATGGAAAGTTGTATTTGCATGCTTTTTGTGCCTGAAAATGCGTTGCCTTGCCCCGTTCTCATCACACACTGGCCTGCTTCCTTGAGTAAGATTGCCTTGAGAAACAAATCCCGATTCCCGAAGCCACCGGCGGCAATGACTGAGCATCGGGCTTGCCCAATTTGGGTGAGAGTGGGTATAATAGCCTCCCAAAAGGGAGACATTGTTACTGATTTCCAATGGAACATAGTGATTGGGTGAAGGACATCGCTCGGCGTCTGCATATGGACGTTGGACTGTGGCTGACTGGTGGGCTCCTTCATCCGAGACATGGCCATGGCCATGCGTGAGTGCTATGTCTTCTGACGAAGAACATCTGGCGCGTGCTATGTCAACTGTCATTCTCCAAAGCTTTCCAAAGTCGGAGCGAGGTGAAATTTGGAACTTTGAGCTTTGGATGTGCATATCGCTTCTTCTGCCCGCTATAGGAAATTTGGTCGGCTTCATGTGGAAATGTGTGATAGCCACGAGAAATTTTGTACTACGTGACGTACGTAATTCCATGGATGTTTTTGCCTGCCGTCTGAGTTCAATACTCCTTGCAAAGGGAAATTCCAAAAGGCCGGCAAGGCCACATTTAAGGTTCTTTTCAACAGGTGAGTAGAAAGTGATCCAAATTCGTGATTGAAAGAATGGAAAAGGAAGGAGTAAAAAAGGAGTGTCACTAGAGCGTGAGAGGAAGGACAAGAAAAAAAAAGTCACTGGAAAATGTTCAAAAAGGATCGATCCACCCAGGGGTCGAACCTGGAACCTCCTGATTCGTAGTCAGACGCTCTGCCATTGAGCCAGCGGACCTTGGATATTAACTGGCTGGAATTGAGGTATTATATGGTTATAGCGGACCCTAGCAATTCCAGCGCACAAAAAAGTACTACGAAATAAAATACAAAACCAGCCAAATATCACACAGAAATTTCTGTCGTTTGTAATGTCTACTTCTGCCTCCCCAAGAAAATGATACGGGCCTCTGCAGTAAAAAACTAGTATACAAGTCAAAAAAGAAGTGTTTAATGGTCATCGTGCGACGTGGGCCTGATTCGAACAGACGCTCCCGAAGGAACAAGATTTCTAGTCTTGCGCATTAGACCACTCTGCCACCACGCCTTGTTGTTATGTCAAGGATCGCATGAAGACAATACGAACCACCATGGCAGCATGGCAGGATATCATTGGCTACCTCCAACTATCACAGCCATTCAACTCTTGGACTCTTCAACATTTCTTTCTTTCAAAATGCCAACCAACATCAGACCCTTCTCTCCGCCTCGTACGCCATCCCCTTCTCCTCCTCCACACGCGACCCGCTCCTGGACATCATCTCGCCCTCCTTCTCCCCTCCAACCCGCTCCGCCTCATCAAGCACCTCCGCCTCCCTGTTTCCATACCTGCCAATTTGCCACCACGGCAAACTAAACAATCTATCCATACTCTCCAAGCTCCTAGAGGCGGTTTCTGGTACGAAGAACCATACCCATACTCCGCCTAATATCGTTACAGCACTAAAGAACCAAAACGTTCCCTGTCCCGAAATTCCGCCCTCTCTCACGGGGAGCAACATGTCAGGCACAGCCCTCGCGCTGCCGTACTGGTTGGCAAAGTGCAGACACATTGCCAAACTTGAGCAAAAGGCACGCAGGCGCAGACAAAAGATCTCTGAGCTGAGCAAGTACTGCATGCTATTCCAGCCCAGTGCCCAGCCGATTCCCGATAGGTAAATCATGACGATGGCGCCTCGCGAAGCGCGTAGTTTTCCTGAGTTGGCGGGAATCACGTACCCCTCTTCGTTGCCGAGTTCAGGGGTCGCGGATAAAAAGGCTGCAATGTAAATCATGGAGATGGCTTGACAGGCTATTCCCAAGAGGAGGGAGCGCTTGCGGCCAATGAAGTCAACGAGGAAGAGGGCGCAGACGATGGCGGCAACTAGCTTGACGATGCCGAAGACGGCTGTTACCAAAAGCGACTCTTTGGTGCCCGTAAGACCGAGGAGTTCGAACAGGTCCGGCGCGTAGATGGTGATGGAGCCGGCGCCGGACCATTGACCCATAACCTGGGCACCGAGAGTCAGGCCAACGCGGTAGAGGTTGCTGCGCACGGTGAAGGTTTCTTTGAGGATGCCGAGCCAGCCGGCGCCTTTGGAGGCTTCCATTTCTTCGTGGTGGCTGAGCGTGATGGCGTTGATTTCGTGCCGAACGTAGTCGTGGTCGGGGGGCAAGTGGCGCAGACGGGACATGACGTGGAGCGCCTTGTCGCTTTTGCCTGTCTTGACTAGGAACCGGGGCGATTCGTACTGGAAAAAGGTAAGGAGAAAAATAAGGCCCGCGAATATGATATGGAGGCTGGTAGGAACCATCCAACGGGCTTGCGTCTCGGCGAGATGAAGCTGGCACCCGTAGTTGGTGAAGTATGCAAGGACGATACCGAGATAGACGAAGCCGGTAAAGGTACCTTTTATTTATCAAAGTAAGTTGTCAGTAGGAGTACTGAAAGTTTTTCGTGAAAATAATAAATATACTGCAGAAGGGATGCAAGGGGATTACTTACAAACACAGAAACCACGAATGCTGGCTGGAGCTATTTCGGCGATATAAACTGGCCCGACGACGGGCGACTAGAATGAGCGGTTCCTCTCGTATTAGTTGAATTCCCATTGCGATGAGGCCATCAGTAGGGTAAAACCAACCTGTCCGACACCGAGTCCTGCAACAAATCTACCAAAATAAACTAGACTCAGATTGCCGTTCGAACCCATGAAGATGGCGATGCCCAAGATCCAAAGTAGACAAAGTATTCGAGTGGCCCAGATTCGCCCTATTCTGTCACAGATCATAAAGGCACTGCAGCCGGTATCTGTCAGTAAACCAAGAGGGACTGAAGAAGAAGAGGTGATGAAACGGGATTGTTCCTTACATTAATGCCCCCCCGACACTCCCAATTTGTACCATAGACGAAATGTTTGCCTTGATGTTCGCTTGCTCAACCGTTGAATACGAGGCATAGTTGATGCTGTCCTGGAAGTTCTTGCTCTTCAATGCGCCATTGATCAGTCCTTCGTCGACACCACGGGCAGCGCCCAACAGGCCGAAGGACAAGACGGCGAACCATAGCCTCCAGTTGAACACTTCCTTTGGCTCGTCCAAGTTTTTGAGCTTGAAGATGTTGACGGGTTTCTTGACGCCGCCGGCCATGGTGAGGTTGGGGTGCGGTCGATAAGCGGTATGAGAGGAACAGGCGGTAGGAACACAGAAGAGGTGGGTGCTATCACCAACTTAATAGTTATGAAACAACCGACGATCAAGACCCATGACAAGCGGGCCGAGAGTGGCCGATCTCACTTGTGGGAGCTGCCCTCATTGTCCTTGAAGAAAACCGAACAGAATGTAGTGTGCACCTTGGCTATGCCACAAGCAGGATCAACTCCTCTTCCTCCGGGAAAGATTTGCCGGGCGGGAACCCAGAATCTGGAAGAATTACGTTCAGACTACTGTGGTGGAATCCGGGTCCTGGCAATTGGTTGGTCACCACAATGTTTGGCCAATGGCATGCGGTCGTTACTGGCTGATGATGGACACGATGGCTTCCCCCAACCTTCCTGCAAGTAAAGAGACATCTCGAGCCGGGCTAGTTCGGCGCTTATCAGTTCGAGGCGACTTTAGAATTTCTTCTCTTTTTCCTTGCTTCTCCGCGTCGTAGTTTCTGCTCTACGGCGCCAATGAGCCTTCATCGAACCAAGATGCCGGTGTGGAAAGAGGGCCTCGTTTGAAGCTCACTTGTGTACACTAGTGTAGAGTCCCCCACATCCCGCCGC